CTAGGTACCCCCCCTTTTTTAACCTTTTCTAGCCTCTAGCTTGTGCAGTTTAATAGTTATAACAAAACTCTCTACTACAGAAATGTAGAGGTCGTTTTTTTCTTTCTTTTAAGCCCTATTTCGCTAGAATCTATGTATTATTGCCAAAGTTTTGGGGGGTACCCACGAAGGACGTTGGAGTATACCCATTCCGCCAGCCTAGGTATTACAGTAAGATTAGACATAATTCCTGCACTTGCAAGGTAGAAATAGAGGATATAGATAATAGTAAAGCTTCTAAATAATACTATCTAGGCCTATAAATAATTATTTATTTGTGTTGTATTGTGATATAGCGCTGCGCAGGCGTTCTGTTGTTGAAAGTGCGGCGCTCAGTTGGGTGCGGCGCTCGCTTGTGAAACACGTTATAACTATAGTAAGCCAGGAAACTATGCTAATAACTGCCTAGTCCTACGCGTACGCAAGATTAAGTTGGCTAGTAATAAGGACCTTGTAGGCACCTCTGAAATACATAACTATAACACTAACAACTATAATTAGACAGGAAAAAAGTATGACGAAGAGGTGCGTAATTACTACCAAAACTAATCTATTCACGACCTCATGAGTCGCTTGGCTTTAAGCTAAGAGTCTGAACCAGCACATAAAGCATCGGGTTTGAATCACCCATCTGAACCTCTAGTCTCTCAACCTCATTCATCAGTTGACTCTCCATCTCTTTAAGAAATTCGATCACGACATCCATCGTACCCGATGCCTTGAATAATGATATTATGTAAGACTTCGTCTCTGGCGGCAGCTGCACAGTATTCGTTTGTTTCGCTCGAAAGATACCTATGATCTGCGCAAACGAAGTCGGTGCTATCCTCTTGCAAACAACAAGGGGAAATGAGATCTTTCCCTCGTCCAAGTCTTCACATACACCCTTGCCCTGGGCGTAATCCATGGATGTCAGGTTCATGTAGTCGTCTCGGACCTGGAAGTAACGTCCGAAGACGCGCACGAACGAGCTGAAGGATTTGGCCATGACGCATCTTGATTTAGATGCCATGAGCAGTAGGAGCAGCTCGAACATGCACCCAGTCTTTTGATCAATCATTTCAAAGTATTCGTCCTCGGTGGGGCAGATGAGGTGGAATCTCCAGTGCAGATCGTAGCTCTGGCCGATGTGCATGCGGTCTAGTATCTCCAGGAAAGACTTTTGCACTGTGGGGTCAAAGTTTTCGTTGACCATTTGCATGGCCTGGACAAAAAGGTGTGTAGAGCTGTTGATGCATTGCGCTGTTCCCAGGATGGTATGAGCAGCTGGTCTGCCACGGCGAAGAGGCGATTGGTCTTGGATGTCATCTAGAATTAAGGACGCGTTGTGAAGCATGTTCGTGATTTCTTTGATCATGTTCACGTAACGGTCAGAAATCTGGAACCACTGATTCAGGGCGTGAATGAGTGTGGACCGGACGCCTTTTGATGGTAGCGATGCGATATACTCGGACGCGGCGGCAACCGGATGGGGTGGTCGTAACAAAATGAGAGATGATAGTTGTGGGCAGTCTATTTCGTTCGTCGTGTGTTGAGCGTCAGACGTACAGCTCGACTTACATGCCTCAGACGAAGCCGATATTGGTGAGTCGGACGAGCTCGGGACATGTTCGCGTGGAGGAGTCTGAACAACCTGGAAATCTTGCTGGTCCACAGCACCGGCTACCTGGTCATTCCATGCATGGTGCCTGGGACAGTTGGCGCACCAGTAATGGTTACCCGCAACTACAAGCCCAACGACTTCGATGAACTGGCGCAAATGGGCCGGCGTGGATGGATATTCCCGGAGAAATCGTTCGAGGCGTCTCTCGTATTCTCTTTCGTACGTGATGATGAGCTTGCGGACAACGGATTTCGCCTCGTCGTAGCTTATGTCTCTGAGCCGCGAGAGGAGTTCGATGGAATTTACGATTCTGGAGCCCTTCGTGAGCGACGCATTGTACTCGCGACCCCAGCTCCAGTAGTCATTTGTAAGAACAAGTGCCCACTCCGCTGGCTCGAAGACGTGTCTTGTAGGTGCTAGCTCCTCATCCGGGATATTTAGTCCCATGCCGAATTGGCACATCGACCAAAATGGTCTGTAAAGTTATTGAAGTCAGCCTGCTAGCTTCGAGGTTCAGTGAATCAAGGGTACGCACTCCATGCCTCCGTTCAACATCCTGAAGTCAAGGTATTCTTGAAGAGACTTTATCTGATCGTAGTTGGGGTGCTCCATGACTTCGAGCCATTTCTTCTGATATGAAACAATCATCCTCGTGCCCATGTCTCGATCGATGTTCAGTATGTTCAAGACGCAATTGCTGACTAGATGTCTGAACTTCCTGGTCTTCGTTTCTTGGATGGAAGCATCCGCATCAAGACCAATTGATAAAGCGGTGCTCAATTGTTTGTGCTCATTGACAGACTCATCCATGCTTAGTTCTTCGGTGGCATCTATGTCAAATGTTCTTAGTTCACATAATTACTTCAGTTGGTCGATTCGGGGGCTTCTCACCATCATGAATGTTTCCAATATTAGCTAGGTACGTTATGCTGGCTAGTCGCTCGGGCAGTGACTCCGAGAAGATTAATGCGCACCAGTTGCCAACTTTGGATACCGCTGAACCCGACTTGACTTCCCAGCCGTCACCAACATGTTCTTTCCAGTCAATTATGGATTGAGCCGTCGCCTGGTCTGCAATATCGTTCCGCTTGTGGATGCGAATTGGTAAGGTTGTGAAACAACCCGTCTCGCGCGCGACGCTTGCAGGAACGGCCTCAGACTGCTTCCAGTCTGTATCCAGAGTGTTTGGCATCGAGACTTCTGGATTTTGATGGTGGACGTATGTAGTTGTGTGAGATTGAAGTATAACCGGTTCGTGAGAATGAAAACAACGTGAAAGTACTGTATTTGAACAGATGGCAATGCAAGCACTATGATTTGTACTTCGCATATTCGTCCGTTCCATGCATTGCACAAGCTAGACCATAGTGACTAGGATTGTACCTGCGTCTTCATTTACGATTTGAGCAGCTAGACCAGAACCTAGTATGGAGAGAGTATCGGCCCTTGTTTCAAAAAATCAAGCTTTGGAAAGGACAAAATTCAAATCCTGAGTTGTACTCTAGTCACTAGACGCTATGTAAAGCCGCAGTTACATCTCTCATAACTGCGACTGGCTGTCGGGCCCCACGGAATTTGGAAAATGCTCGGTTAAGCATGAAGATAAAGGTTACGGCCCTTCTGTGGTGAAAATGCGGGATATAAGTATTGGATTACAGGTGATTGTCGCAGTCAAGCTGCAGTCAAGTCGCAGCAGCCAATCCCCCGTGATCCGGCTCGATCCTACTTCGGCCTGACTTGTACCGACTGTGTGTATCTCCATAGCACCTTCGAAAACAACACATACAACCATCATCGAACAGAATGCATTCATAGTTATGAGTTATTTCCTTTCATCACTAGTGCTACAGAATTTCCAACAATAAGGGGGTTTTGGGGCATGCGCACTTATCGTATTGCGCGTTCGCTTTGTGGATCATATGCAATAGCTGATCATTGGGGTTGTTCGAAGCGATGAGCAACTGCTCGAAGAGCCTCTTCAGTACCTGGGCCGAATAGTAAAGCCAGTCCCATTTACCCACCCCCAATTGCTCCGTCAAAGGCCCGAAACTGTCGATAAAGACGTCGGCTTCTTAAAACAGTGATGATTGTACACCCAGAATTGTGGGATTGTCAAGAAGAGGGGCCTCCTGTATTGTAAAGGGGACTTATCCGGCTCGTCTCATGTGAAATGGAACGATCCTATCGGAACTTCTGGCAAAAAAGCATATGCCGATTTTGCTGGTTGTAGGATGAGTACAGGATGCTAAGGCATGTCGGACTGAAAGGGAATGTACCGGAAAAGCTGTATTTTACTGTCGTACATAATTGTGCACTTGAGCTTCCTGCTGCAAAATACTGGATTTCTGCACATGTATCGATTTTTCACCCCTGAATCGCCCAAGATCTTTTTAGCCGACAAATCATCCTATACCCTACAAGACTGTAGGACCGTCACTAAACAGGGCCGCAAAGATTAAGGTCCACAATGACGTGCTCTGATCCGCTTTGCCAGTGCGACTGAGCCGATGACCCATTGCGATGACCCATGCGACGAGCCACTAACACCTTCTGAAACGCTTACATATTATTTGCGGAAGGACACGGTCGAATAAGAACTATCGCAAACACGAAGGAAGTTGCTTTGTAGGCCATGAACGAAACACGCTTTCAATCGCATACTGTGCTGAGTGGCAACACTGTACAGCTTGCCTACAAAGCGATGGCTCTTTCCTTACGCAATATGGAGCCATTGCTATTACTTGTGTCTGGGCTCCTAGGTGTAAGTCTTCCGAGAACATACAATTTCAGCGTACAATGAACCTAACACACAGCCATTCGTATAGATAGGACTCCTGTACATGTACTATCTATGCTTTCACCCCCTCTCGAAGATACCAGGGCCAACACTAGCCGCAATATCTCCGGTATGTGCATGTCTTGTTGCAATCTGAATTGAGTTATTAATTCGAACGTAGCTATGGATGATGAAATCCCTGTATGGCAAGAAGCTGAATCGAGATATCAAAGCGCTTCATGACCATTATGGTAGGCAGAACATGTTTACGACTCCATTATATGTTGACCTGGGTGCTGACTGTGGTTTAAAGGCGATGTGGTTCGTGTTGGTCCTAACACCGTCTCGTTCGCTACGGTCGGAGCGCTATCCTCAGTGCATCACGAAAAGTCTGGCGGTGACGACGGTACTTTCACCAAAGAGGGCACTATCGAGTGGCTTCTTGGTCTGATGACATGGCCGGCGCAGAACATTTTGACCAAAACAGATGTAAAAGGCCACGCTAGACTCCGCAAAGCTGTTCAACCCGCCTTTTCGGCCAAGGAACTCAGAAAGCAGGAGCCGATCGAACAGGCATGGATCACCAAGTTCAATCACCTTCTAGACGCTGCGGCTAAAGAAAACGCGGAAATCAACATCACTGAACATATGTCGCACCTTGTCTGGGATATGCTGAGTGATCTCGCATTTGGAGAGCCCTTAGCACGAAGCCAGCTAGGTATGTGATCTTTCCCAGCAGAAAGTTCGACCGGTCTAGCGAAATTCCTGATATATGCGATATGTGAAAGGCTGACAAAATGCACAGTCAAGTTCAATAGGCTCAAACGGCTTGCCTGCGCCATGTCCCCCATGTTGGAGGTTATGCAAAGCATCCTCACATTTCCACTCGTGGGAGCCTTCACGAGATGGGTCGTCACCTCATTCCCACAGGTATTCCAGCTGCCTCGCGACATATTACCGACCGGTACTTTACGCACGTAAGTTTGCGCAGATATGACTTTGTTGCCACTCTATCACTAATGCAGGTCACGTAGGACCTTAGACCGTACAGATAGAGGCCATGACTTCCTCAGCGCTATCGTTGGCGCCGAAGAAAAGGGCATCGCGCTCTCTCAAGAGGAACTGCAGAGTAATGCAGCCATGCTCGTCATGGTCGGCCAGGACGCGACTGTCACATGTCTTTCATCGACGCTCTACTTCTTGCTGCGAGATCCACAACACATGGCTAATCTAAAGAACGAGGTGCGAGGGCACTTCAAATCCGAAGAAGAGATTAACGTTCTAGCAATTGCCGGGCTTCCACTTCTCAATGGCTCTATTAACGAGGCCATGCGCCTGCTCTCGCCTGCCAACGGTACAGGTACGCATCGACTTTCCAATGGAGGTTTTGTAGAGGGCATCTACATACCGCCAGGGATCACGATTGCTGTGGATCAGTACACTATTCAACGTTCACCGAAGTACTGGCGAGATCCTGAAACGTATCGACCCGAGCGGTGGGCCAATGTGGGCGAGCAGGGATCGGAGTTTGAGAATGACTTGCATTCGGCATACCGGCCTTTTCTATTGGGTCCAAGGGCCTGTCTGGGGCGCGAGCTCGCGTTACAAATCGTTCGACTGGTACTTGCACGCCTGGTTTTCTCATACGACGTATGCATGGCAAACAAGAATTTCGTGTGGGAGAGGGACTGCGATTCATCCTACCTCTGGCTTGGACACAAGGTAGTCGTCAAAGTGGAGAAGCGGCAGAGCACCCACTAATCTATCCATCCCTGTAGCGCTTACTACCGCTTTCCGTATGTAGTCAAGGGCTGTCTTGATAACAATAGATGTCGCTGGTTAGCGGCGTTTTCTGACTACCTGCAATGGCGCAGCTAATCTCGCTGACAACTTGAATGATGTCGAACACTCACCGCTGATTTTATATGACCTGACACTTTAGGTCTAGGATTATCAGGCCTTGGCCGCCATGCCCACAAGATTTTCGACAAAGACTTTGTTTTGACCGAATGTCGGATTCACAGCGAAACTCGATATGTCCGGGATAACCTCTCTTTTGTCTGCGATTTGCGAATGAGACGTATGAACTATTCCCGGATTGAAGCAACGAGTGGCGTGACAAATCGCCGAAATGCGCCGAAAGAAAAACGCCGATCATATTCGACCGGAAAGCCTCTGAACCTGGCAAAAAGCAACAGTACCTCGGGTGACAAATTCGCAGGGTTAGACTCTGTGTCTCATAAGACATCACGTCACCTTCGACAGGCCTCAGAGCAACTCTAGTGTTCGGTAAGCCTTGCCACCTCGATGCCGCTCACTATGCCATTCTCAGGAGCAGCTTTTGCTGCGTTGGTAGATACTCTTGCCGTCAGTACTCTTACAGTATACTCATGACACCAGGTCTTCCCTCTTGTTGTAGCGCTTGTCCTCTATCGCCTTCTTTTGCATCCGTTAGCATCCTTCAGAGGACCGAAGCTAGCAGCGGTCACTGACTGGTGGTTTTGTACACAGTGGTATGCGAGACATGCGACTCAGACTGTACCACATCCGAGAAGCTAAAAAATCTCAGGCTCAATGGCCGATGGCCTCAGACGCTAGAGAAGTTACAAAACCAATATGGTAAGGACAACTCTTCAACTATTTTGAGATGAGATGCTGAGTGCGTTACAGGCGACATTATCAGAATTGCTCCCAACGAGCTAGTCTTCGCTACTCCTGAGGCAGCAAGAGACATCTACACACGCTGCAACCCTGACCAGGATCCCAAATTCATTAAGAATCCTCTCTTCTACCAACAGAGCGAAGGATTCCCAACTCTGGTGACTGAGACCGATCCAGCCGCCCATCGCGCCCTGCGAAAGCCTCTTGAGCGTGGATTCAGCCCGAATTCGCTAAAAGACTACGGGCGCATAGTTGAGAGAGTGGCTGAAGACCTTACAGCGCAGCTTGAGAAAGCTACCGCAAATTCTGGTGCAGTCGAAGTGAAAACCTGGGCAGCTCGCTTCACCTTTGACGTAATTACCGAGGTGACCTTTGGTAAATCTTCCGACACTGTCTCACAAGGTAGAAACACAGTCTGGCTGGACCTTCTGACTGGAAACATCGCGGCGGCAGCTCTTGGTGTCGCAATTCGGCGACAGCCACAAGCTGTCAAGACATTGCTAAGATTTATGTTTGCTAAGCTATCCAAAACGGCGAAGTTGCGGGCCCTTTATCTGACCACCTGTCGAAATATGTGTGTGGACAGGCTTCGTGAGCCACCGAAGGCCGCAAACCTGTTCGATCACATCCTTGCCACATGCCCTCCACATGAGAAGAATGCCGACGATGATGATTATCTAGTGTTCTTACAGGGTCAAGCTGCCGCTTTCGTCTCCGGCGGGACGGAAACATCTTCAACTTTACTATCCTCCCTTATTTACAGCCTCCTCACGCACCCTTTACAGTTTGGCCGGCTACGGGACGAAGTTAGAGAGGCATTCTCCAAAGAGGAAGAGATCAGCATTGAATCGACAAAGCAGCTCAAGTACCTTCAGGCCGTAATAGATGAGTCCCTACGCATCTTTCCACCTGTAGGATTTGGTCTGCCAAGGGTATGTCCTGGAGCAAATATTGGAGGCATTTACGTCCCAAAGGGAGTGAGTACCGCACCCTTTACTTAGATGCAATACTGTTTACAGCTAACGTGAAATGCTATCAAGACCGTAGTACAAGCCCCAGAAATTCTCATGGTACGAAACGAACGATACTTCGCGCGGCCTCACGAATTTCTTCCTGAGAGATGGTTACCCAAGGAGCATAGATTCTACGACGATCAGTTCTCGGCGGACCGTAAGGAAGTATCGAAGCCTTTTTCCCTAGGCCCTCGGCAGTGTATCGGCATGTCACTTGCCTATGCAGAATGGAGATTGGTTTTGACCAAGCTGGTGTGGAAATTTGACTGGGAGCTCGTAGGCGAGAAGCAAGAGTTGATCAATGTAGCCAGGCTTAAGCTGCTCTGGGAGATGCCACCAATCCTGGTGTCTTTCAAGCCTTCGGACAAGCTTGCCGAAGTGGCTCCTGTAATATAGCATAGCTTAGAAGATTGATCCTGTCTGCTGCTGAACTATACTACGAAGAAGCAGATGCCTTTCCAAAGATATAGTACTCATCTTTGTAGGGGATGGACCAGTATAAATCGCCATGTTCCGAGAGACATGTCTAATTAACGCATGGTAGATTTGGAGGGAGCTATCTGCTTGAAAATCGATTACTAAGCAATACTGATGAGCTTTCCCGCTGCTAATGACTATGTGCAGTCACGGGGAAATATCCTTACATCCGAGCCGCTTCTAGCCCCCGCTTCTACCGGGCCAGCCACAGTATATATATGTACTGACGGAGTCTCTACGTCCTGTTCAGGTTTGTTATCATCCCCCCTTGCGCATTGTTCGCTTGTCGTTGCATGTCGCGTAAAACCCTTCCTCCCTATCCATCATGTCGAACCAACTTCCACCTATCAACTTCCAGATGGAGATATCGTACTTAAAGGACCCCGAACGGGTTTGCTCGGATGAGGTAGTTGCTGATGCTAGTCTGAGAGCACCACGCACCAAGCTCGTAAGAGACATGCGGCCCAACCAAGACGACTTCAAGCTCGACATCCACGGATTTCAAGTCCTCCACCTTCCGTACCGGGAACGCAATGATAAAGACGGTTCGGAGATACAGACCAAGTATTACAAGGAAATTGAGGACCTGCTGAAAGAGAAGATCGGCGTGAAGCACGCCTTCTGCTTCGCGCCGGTGTTGAGACCTCTTGACCTATCGGACAAGCCTATCCCTAACACGCAAAAGACCATCCCACGGCCCCATCTGGATTTCGGTCCTAAATCGGCAAGCGAGGGATGGTGGACCTGGTTCACCGATGACAACCTTCGAGCAGCCGTCCCCGAGTGGCTTGAGTCAATCGGTGTAGATCTCTCAGACGCCGAGAAAGCGCCCCGTTTCTCTATACTAGGGTAAGTAACACCACACCTATCTGCCACAAACTTGCATGAGACGACACATGGGTAACCTCGCGGTACTACAGACTTTGGCGGCCTCTTTACAAGCCCGTAGAGAGGGATCCTCTTTGCGTCTCAGACTTTCGAACGGTCCCGGAAGAGGATTATGTAATCCTGCAGCCAAGAAAGCGAAAGACCTACGATGGTGAATGGTCAGTATTGAAGCATGGGGAGCCTGATGTTGATCACCAATGGTGGTATTTGTCTAACCACGGGCTGGAAGAGCTGCTGGTATTCAAGCACCATGACTCGAGGATGGATAAAGCCTGGAGATGTGGCCATGGGGCTTTTGCCATACCTGGCACTGAGCATCTGCCAGATCGGGAAAGCTTGGAAATCCGCGCATTCTGTGTCTACTAGTAAACCTCCGAAATCCTCAAACCGCTAAAACCTGTTGAGAAATTAGCTACGTACTTCATCACGCTATTTTTTGTGTTGTAGTCGAACTTTACAACACATGATGCCGGAGGATGAATATGCGATGGAGTATTTTCTTGCGGTGAAGGTGTCCATACTAAGACAGGGCAACAATACGCGGCGAAGTAAATAGCATTCAAGATACAATGGTTGATGCGTGCTGTCATTCGCTAGCGAAAGAAGCAATGTCATCTCGGAGAAATCATGCCACCAGATACTTCCTATATCAGTATCCTGGGTGACCTAGACCCGGTCTGACGACTTGACCGGTCCGAAAACTAGAAATCACCTGATTGTGCAGCAAAACCGAAACCTGCTGCATGCAGGACCATGCTGTCTTCACTTCACCAATAAGCGGTCTGGCTTCCGTCGCCTTCCGATGAGCTGAGGACTCGATCTGCACGTTCGGCAATGGTGGGGGGTCACGGCGCCGCTATCGCCGACTATGCCCAGACGTAGCCCTGGAAATACCGGGGTTCTACGTTCAGACCCAACCCTACCGCAAAGTGCCGCAAAGGCTTTGCTGGAGGTCTCTAACGCTTTGCGCATCATAAGTCCTTCACATACGCTTCCCCGTACTTGCTACGACTGTACCATGCGAAATTCACGTTCTGGATCCCTATACACTACACACATCCAGCCCGATGAAGCCGGCAACAATTCTTACCCATTGCTTGATTGCTACATGTCAGGCCGCATTTCAAGGACCATTCAGTTTTACGCAGCGGACGACACACTTGGCTACGTCCCCTCCAGAAGGCTTTAATGCTACGTTCCAGCAGAGGTACTGGCTCGACTTGGCTAGATATTCCAAAGGTCAACCCGTCCTTCTCGTTGATGCTGCGGATAAGCCAGGAGAGGAGACTGTTCGCTTGATTGAACAAGGCATTGTCAGTCACATCGCTGATGAAGTAGAAGCTGCCATCGTGGTCCTCGAGCAGCGCTACTACGGCCGCTCTTTCGTCACCAACAATTTGTCCACCGCCAGTCTACAATTTTTGAACACGGATGAAGCTATTGCCGATATGGCATATTTTTCCGAACATTTCCCGTACAAACAACACTGGGAATTGGATACCTCTGTCCTACCCGCTAACGCGCCATGGATATCCTACGGCCACTGGATCGCCGGTACGAAGGCTGCCTTGCTACGGAAAATGTATCCGAATCAGCTTTGGGGTGCCATTGCGTCCTCCGCACCTTTGCTGGCTATCCAGAACGTGTGGCAGTACCTTGAAGCTATTCGGCTTCAAGCAGACCCTCTCTGCATGCAGGTAGTCACCACAGTTGTGGCTGACGTGGACGATGAGATTGATCGAGCCGGCCTAAATGATGACGGGGAGATAATCATCACCGAGCCGCTAGCACGCTATCGCGAGATGTTCAATCTGAGTACCGAGAAGACAGTACGCGATTTCATGAATCAGGTCGCGACTCCCCTAGGCCTATGGCAGAGGCGGTCGTGGGATGAGCGACAGGAGGACAACCGGGCGTGGGAGTATTTTTGCGCAAATCTGACGCGAGGAATCACCTTAGAAGAGGAGATCGACGACCAAATAAGCGCAGTTGAACAGCAAAACAAGGCCGTTTTCCACAGCCGAGCCATGGACAACTATGCCTACTACATTCGTCACTACTTGGCTGTCGGTCATCAGCGGCCGGACATGTCGCAACTCTCCCAGCCCCAAGACGACGAGGTATTTCCACTTGGAGAGATCCGTCGCAATAGGACCGAGTCTCAGAAGACGGAACTGGGCCAGGTCTGGCGCTTATGGTATTGGCAAGCCTGCACTGAGGTACGCGCTTCATTTTCAATTCCCCTTGACGCGGTTGAAACTGACTTATTCTCCACAGTGGGGTTATTTCTCTGCAGCTGAGCCATATCCATTACCGGCTACTCTTTCACGTTCTCTCAGCGAATTCTATTTGACAGAGGTCTGTCGTTTTGCTTTTGACTTTCGTAAGCTTCCCTTTGACCTACAGCTCTGTGATGGCCCAGCCAGCTAACTTCTGTAGCTGACGACTACCTCGTTACTGTTGATCGTATCAATAAACATGGCGGCGTAACTCTCCACGCTCCTCGTTTACTATTCGTCAATGGTGAAGATGACCCGTGGCTGTATGTCACTGCGCACTCTCCCTTGGCGGGCGATATGCGCACGAAACTCGGCGATGGGTATCTTTTGCGACAAGGAGGCTTTGCGAACGATCGAACAGCTCTTTCTAGGCTTGCTGATGAGCCTGTTGAGATCCGATTAGTTCATGAAGAGGAGATCAAGGCAGTCAAAGAATGGGTTGCCGAATGGAAATTGCAGAATGAAGAGGGTATAAGTGAGCTGTGAGGACGCGAGCGGTACGTCCTGGGAATGAGCCCAAAAGCCATAATCATTCCAATTGAACCTCTATTAAGGGACGAAGGACTTGTTGTAAAGCATCTTCATGTATGTATGTGTGCTACTTAGTCTTTCTTCACGTAGCTTTTCGTTTGATCAGTGTTGTCGTATCTTGAACACCACACGGTAGTAGAACAGCCAGGACCAATATGACCGACTAATTTTGTACTCAGATTGCACATGTTTACATGAATACATGAATACGCCTGTACAGGAGACCTGAATCCGTTCCAAACTTGCTTGCTCTCTCTTATCTCGCAAACTCTGCGAAGCTCTCAACAGTGCGCACCTCCACCTTTTTGGCGAGATTGTGCTCTTCCCGCGACACGCGGCGCAGCTCTGCCGTGTATGGCTGGTCGCGATGGCGCAGCCAAGCCGCTTCATTGGCGAATCTGCGAACTGTAAGTATCTTCAATCATGAATTATAGATTCCGTTCCACGAACTTCTCGATCACATAGAACACTCCCGCATCAGCGTCCCAGACAGCCCGAAATGAGATCGCATCCGGCTCGTTCTTTTGAACCTCCGAGACAAGATGATCTAGCATTTCCCGAACCTAAATGCCGAAAAACAGCATCATGTCAGCTTGAATGAGTTGAGAGGGTGGGTCCAAGACTTCACATACCCTTTGCTCTCTTCCCTCCATCGGGGTGACGATATTGATCGTGTGGAACATGTTAGCGCTATGATGATGATAGTGACGATAAAAACGGGAGAATTTGGTGAACGGTAAGGGTGAATGTAGCTGGATCCAAAGAAGATTGATATCGCTGATAAAGCTGGTTTCGGTCGTACTTAACGGCGCATAATCGACGTGACCCCCGCAAGCTTTATTTCACAGACCGCCTCATTCTACGCCGGTCAGTATTACGCGCAAGCGATTCCTGGAAACGACCGCAATGCCGCCGATAAGACTTGATCAGCTTAGTTTTGTACCATCGCACTGAAGATTGCCCACGTCACTAGATGTCTTATGTACCTGCAGAGTACGTCATGTAATATTTAAGAGAGAGAATTGATTCGAGAGTCATCTACTACTTAACTTTTCAAGCTTCTTCAACTACGTTTGATCGTTTCACTTAACAGGACGCCTATTCGAGTTGGGTTTGAACGGGTACTGCGAACATTGCATCAACCATGGCTCTTCAAAAAGAGCCATTGAGTCCGACTGGGGTATTGGACACATTCCGATCTTTCGACGTTACACCGACAATTGGGACGGAGTTTCCAGATGCAAGCCTCAAAGCGTGGTTTGAAGATCCAAAAGCGGACGAGCTACTTCGTGATCTGGCAATAACAGGTCAGCTTTTAGATATATGGCATCCACATCTGGTTGTCAATGTCCAGATGTCCCAATCGCTAATCGCGAAAACAGTCTCACGTCGCGGCGTCGTTTTCTTTCGTCAACAAGACGACCTCACTGAAGATGTCCAAAAGTCAATAGTCCAAAAGCTAGGAATCCTTACTGGCAAGCCAACTACATCCTCCCTGCACCGCCATGCTGTCCAGCCCAACCCTGACGCTGACCCCGAAATCCTGCGCATCAACTCCGAGGAAAACAAGAAGATCTTAGCAGGAACGGTGTTCGATCCTGCAGGCCCGCCACGACAAAGCTGTCGCGGGCTATGGCACAACGACATCAGCTACGAACCTATTCCAAGTGATTACGCCTTGCTCCGACTGACGCAGGTGCCTGAATCAGGAGGCGGCATGTGAACCCTAGCCTGCATGCAGAAACACCGTGACTGACATTTTCGCAAAAGATACTTTGTGGGCTTCTGGATACGAGCTATTTGACCGCATCTCGCGCCCGGTGCAGATGTTTCTTGAAGGCCTCACCGCTACGTTCGCGGAGTTGCGCGAGAGAGACGCGTCCGATAGTCGTTTCCAGATCCCACGAGGAGCCCCTGAGAATGTAGGCACGAATCTCCGACCGACGCATCCAGTGGTTCGCACGAATCCTGTCACCGGTTGGAAGAGCGTGTATGCCGTCGGTCTACACGTCCAGAATATCAACAGCCTAACTGGTGATGAGAGCGAAGGGCTCAAACGTTGGTTTACCAAGCTCATTGTCGAGAATCACGATCTCCAAGTGCGTTTTCGTTGGAACAACGCTAATGATGTCGGTATGTCGCACTAACGGATCTCTGTGTCATATACTGAGATCACATCCCTACATCTTGCTCTCTGCATAGTTTGCTGATCGCTACAGCTATCTGGGATAATCGGTGTACATTCCATAGCGCCACGTACGACCATGAGGGCTATGGCATTCGGGAAGGTTATCGTGCGTGTGGTGTTGGGGAAAGACCGTATCTGGATCCCAGTAGTACCGGTCGCAGGAAAGCGTGGCAGGGTTGAAAAAAGAAACCGGCATACCTGTGCGGTGGCAAAATGAGCGATTAATGTAAATCCCAGTCATATGCACGACGGCTCCGTGCTTATGCCGGCAGAATTACAGTCTGATTTCCGAAGTACTTCATTTGTGATGACAGACATCTCTAATCAGGCCAGTGATCGGAGTTTAGACCGCATGAACCTCGTTGCTTTACTACATGCCAATCGGCCCGACCATAGCCTTGACAAGTACAACGTTGCACAAGCGACATAGCTCGATGAATTCGGGAATCGTCGCTTTTACAAATCATTACACCAAACCAATCTAAGCACTGGGTCAACTCTTGTGAGCGTCTCGACATCGGCCATCATTATATCTTCATGCAAGACTTCAACTGTACAGGCGAACGCAATCTTGAGATATCCCACAACAACAACGCGGAATCATGTCATTCCCAGGCTCCGATCCAGAGAACCCACTGGTCGGTGTGCCCAAGCTGGATCCACTGCCAGACGACATCGACATATTCTCATTATACCAAAAGATCTTCGCTGGTCCTGATCACCAAATGCCGCACATGAATCTATGGACCAGTGGAATAGTAAGTGTTCGAACCGCGGACCGGCCGCCGTTACTGATGCTTGGGGCGCACAATCTTATCTCCCACCGAATACGTCATCATGGATCTGAAAGGATGCAAGTCGACTGGGTGCAGCTCGTCCTGTTCGATGGCGTTATGCCGTGCGCAAGTGAAGGGAGTCTAGTCTATAATGCTTTGAGTGGTCGTGCGACAGCAATACCAGCACCCTTCTTGTGAGTGATGTGATATCCCATGTTGAGCTTTGTCGACATCAAGTTTCTCTAATATATCTTCATCTATTATAGCCACCCTCCTGCCACATCCACAATACAGAAGGAGAGTAAGACGCATCTGAGTCTCGTGATTGATCGACCGGGAGTTGCCTCGTATAAGGGAAAGATTGTTGCTGGTTTGATTCCGGAAGATCACGACAGGATTGCCTTGATTCAGGTACAGCCGCAGTGGACAGATGGTAAAAAGGGGTTAAGGACATATACGCAGCTAACACTCATGCTCGTGGCAAGCATTGCGGATATTCGAGACAAGTCCGTTAAATCTGCTAAAGCGCGGGGATCTTTCTGGGGTTTCCAGGGCGGGTTGCTAATTCCTCTGTTTGGCTTTGAAGATGGCGTGTGTGGCGAATTCCAGACGCTTGGACAGGTAGTCAAAGGATTACCAAACGAAGCGGTAGTACCAGGTTTATGGTCCAGGTACCGCGCTCATTATTCAGACTTCTTTGATCAAAGCGAAGCGCTGAGTCCAGATTGGGATAGGTTATTTTCGGGAGAGCTTAAGGGCGATGGCTTGAACAGAAGGGTAATTGGGCTCGAGAACGACGCTGGAAATGTAAAAGCGTGATGCGGGAAGTTAAATCAATTAGCAATACCGATGCGCTGTTGGCTGGCATTAGTGTGACATCTTCCGAACGTATGCTGAATAATCTATGCGATTCTCAGTCGCTTCCATTATAATACATACTTTTCGCTCTTCGTAAGCGTTCATGGCCCGGTTATCTCGTGGAAAGCCCGATATCGCGAAGTTGAGTAGCTCTGGGCATATCGATTTCTGTTACGGTATCAAGTGCAAATGAAAACGAGTGTGTTTTGTTATTCTGTTCTGTTGTTCTGCTTGTGCCCGCTTCTCGAAGGGCTAGCTGCGTGGCATGTTTTCATGTGATGCAGCTGAGGCGAGAGGTGCTGAACAAGATGAGGAAGCAGCACTAGACCACCGCCAACAACACGTGATCTGCTTCTCCTGTTAACTGTTACACACCCCCTCATCCTGTAGTCAATTAGCGACGGAAGGATGAAACCCTTAGCTATTATTCTCTATCTTATAAACCTTTAAGCGAACGTCCATAAGCTGTAACTAGTTGCTGTATAAATTCAATTTGCTTCTAACAATGAAAAATCTTTGTTGTGCTATAAGCAGGCATCTAGCTTGTAGGCCTCTAGTAGATGTAGAGTTAATTCTGCTTAACCTCCTAGCAGATCTAGTTCTAATAAATTTTAACGTGTTTAAGCTTAGTGCTAAGCTTGTCCTGCTCCTTTGTGACTATGCCTACAGTCTGTTGGTTGTTGCACTAAATAATAGGTATCTAGTTAAGCTTCAAAGACAGTCCTTTGAATACGCAGCACCAATCCTCTATCTCTAATCTAGCAAGTGAGAGAGCAAGTAGCTCTACTTCTGTTGTTAATTTCTGTAAAGGAGCTGGCCGCTGAGGGCTAAGTGCAAGTAAAATTCAGATGGAATTGATGCAGGCTCTGGCTCGGAGACTTCTGGTGGGTTTTGTTCTCCAGTGTGGAGTCTGTATGCCAATACTCTCTGGTGTGGAGCTCAAGTGCTAACAGTCTTCAGTGTGGAGCTTGAGCGCTGACACTCTCCAGTGTGGAGTTTTGGCAGCCTCCGCTTGTGCATTTGTTAGCTTCTAGCGATTAAGGCCTCCAGTGCTAAGACTTTAGTACAGACCTAGCCTATTACAGTACCCCCCCACTACAGCTTAGTTTATAGGATTGTTTTAGAACAATAATTAGTCTCTAAACTCTGCTTCGTGCGACCTTTATTCCTAGGCGTGTTACCTATTACTTCCCTACCTGAAGCTGTGCTATACCTAATACACTTTCCCTTGTCTGTTCATGTCCCTCTGCTGCTCTGCTTATTACTGTAACAACGCTCTACGAACAGTGGCCCAATACCACTAGGATACGGTTCTAGCGACTCATGACCATGGCCCTTGTTGCATAACATAAGCTCACACTAAACTGCCACTAAACCCTTAGATATAAGGAGCAAGGAACTGTAGCATTATAGAGTAGTTTTTCTATATCCTTTTATACAAGACCTATAGGTGTAGAGAATATATCCTAGTGTTCTTATTATCCTAGCACTCCTATATGCCTTGTAGCAGATTTACACCTATTCTAGATATCTCTCTTCTTGCCTGCGTCATTACATTATATAGAAAAACTTGTCCTAGCTAGTAATAGCCTCTAAATAATATTACAACTTATTTATTTTAGATTACACCTAAGAACCTAGTAGAATTAGAGTTAATTTACTACACACTATTACATCTAGCATTTAGCTATAGTTAGGATACTAGAGATCTCCTAATAACTAAAGCCTTTAGGTTTAGAACTTCTAAGATATTTATGTCTAGATTACTTTAGAAAAGACAAATTAGATAGCGCTAAGGTAGAGACTAGGAGACTACTAACAACCTACCTAAATTAGAAATAATACTAATATTAGGCAGCAACACCCCTAGTTCTAAGGAACCTATAAGAAGATTAGCCTAAGTTTAGAGCATAGTAAATAAGGCCTCTAAACTACCCCCTAATTAAAGCTTAGTAGCAAAGAATGCAGCTAAAAGTAATTAAGAAGTAGATTTAGACTTAGATAAGATAGACCTAGTAAAAGAAGTTATAAGACTTTGTGCTAAAATCTCCTAACTAAGGGCTTCCTAATAACTATTAGATAACCTACTACTAACTACTAAATTAATCCTAACTATATCTTAATAGCTATTATAGTTCTAATCTAAGACACCCCTAGACTATAATATTAGGTAGAAGCTTTCTAAATATACCCTAAAGATTAATAATCTTAATAATAGAACTAGTCTAACCTTTAAATAATAGTAGGCCTCTATATAAGACTAATTTAAAATTAACACAGATTACTATTAGAGTAAGCACGCTTAAATAGCCTTAGTATAGGGACACATAATAGGCCTAGCTAAAGAATATCTAGAGCCTTAGTATCTAGCTAACACTTCTTTAGAGTTATTTTAGAATGCTAAAGAGATAATTACCCTTCTTAAGTCCTATTTTATTACAGGAAATAAGAAGGCTAAGAGTAGAGCTATATTTAACTAGCTTACTATAGACAAGAATAAATTGTTCCCTGCATTTAAAGCTTGTTTTCTTAGTGTAGCTATATATAGATAAGTACCTAGAATAGAGTAGTTCTACTACCTGTAGACTAAGGTTACCTTAGGACTTTATATACCTAACCTAGGTTTAAAGAGGTAGTAGAATAATTTATTTAAACTTATAGTAGAGCACTTAACTATATTTAATATAGAGTAGAGCAACTAACCTAACCCTATAGGAATATTTAGATATTCTAGTGCCCCTCTAATATAGACCTAAAATTGTTTTACTTTAGACACTACTAAAAAGTTCACACCTTCTAGAGATTATAATACTTTGTTATTGTATCAACGTCAGCTAAGCAGAGCACTATCTGTACCTGCTCTAAGGGCCTTCTCTAAGACCCCTAGACCTGTCAAGGAATCCACACCAACACCAACACCTAGTAACTGCTATAACTGTGGTAAGCCAGGATACTACGCCAATAACTGCCTAGTCCTACGCGTACGCAAGATTAAGTTGGCTAGTAATAAGGACCTTGTGGACGCCTCTAAAACATATAACTACAACACTAACAACTATAATTAGATAGGAAATAAAGAAGCCTAGGGGGAGTTCCCTTCCTAGGCCTAAACTATTATAACTTATCTAATCTTAATTTATCTTATTTATTTAGTAGTTTATATTTCCTTATTAAGTCTATTTTATGCTTGAAAGGCCTTAGTGTCTATATTAACTTATTAATTAATACTAGAGCTTACATTAGGAAAAGTTTTTCGAAATCTGGCCTAGACTGGCTATTGCTGACAGTTGTGGCATAGTTGTGCAACAGCTGTTCAACGGCCCCAACAGCCCTAATTTGCGCCTAACAGCCCTAATTTCGCGCTAATATTGCTAATAGCTAAAATGCTAAGTGCCTATATTTAATAAACTTAAAATAATGTTGCAATATTGTTGCATAGCTACCCTTAGTTCTACTAGCACTAGTATTAAATATTTAAAAATTGCGAAATTTCATGTACAGATAGAGCGAAATTGTAGCTTTAAAATAAGCAAAACATTATTATTG